CAGAGTATGGTGACCAGAAAGCATATTCCAAAAGCAGATTTATTTTTCTATCTCTCAGCTGGCCTCTCCAGCTTTGCACAATTGAGGCTGTTAATGGAGAGCTGAGGACAGCACCCTTTTACATGACCCTTTTCAGATGGGACTAATGTCAGGCTCCAGGGCTATAGCAGTGGACACAAAACATAGTAGGGGGGGTGAGTGGACTGCTGCTGACATAGCCGTGGAGGGAGGATGGACAAGGACTCTGAGTATGGTCCTGGACCTGGCTTTAGGCAACCATTTCTGAGACCCTTACGATCCACTGCGTGTACACTCAACAGCCTAAATCAGAAGCCATGAGGCCCACGGCTTGCAGAGCATAACTGATTCCATAAACAGTTTGGACTTCATTATTCTGGCTGATTTCAGAGCTTTATTTTGGTCTGAGTCTATGATTACAAAGGTTTTCTGTCTGACTTTTCTATTATGACTGTATTTGTGCAGCTCAGATCCAATATTTGGAGTCTGAATTTTCCCTCCACACCAAACCTTGCGGACAGAGTGATATAGATGTGTTTGAGGGGAGGCAGGGAAATGAGATGAGGCCGACTTCAGAGTTAATCAAGAAAACACAAATGGCACTGAGCCAGTTGTTTTGATGATTTTGGGGGAGAAGGGTTGTGGATGGATTCTGGTTCCTTTCTGATGCTGCTTCTCTGCGGTGCCTGCCTCTCCAGCATTATGGAAGTGATTGCTCAGAATTTTAATGGCTGCACTTCAGTGGTTTGTCCTGTGAGGCTGGGAATGATGAGAAGAGAGGAGAGGAGAGCAGAGGAGAGGAGAGGGGAGGGGAGGGGAGGGGTGGAGAGGAGAGGAGAGAGAGAATGAATTTTAGAGTGCAGTTGACTTTAGATCCCTAGAATTGGGTGATTCAATGTTTGTGGTTTCAACTATTTGTTTGCACCACACCCATACAACACATGATGAATGGTCATTTTTATGGGGAAAATGTGAATATTGGGTGGCACAGGGCTGGCACAGAGAAGCTAGTGAGAGAGGATCTAGCCAAGGTTGCAACAATCACAGCTATTTTTGGGCTCAGCAGCTTTTT